GCGGACCGGTTCCAAGTCGCCCTGTCCCCTTCCCCGCTGTCGCCGGGAACTCCGCCCCCGTCCTGCCTTCCGGTCTCTGCTCCGCTGCAGGCCTGGGAGTTTAGTTCACCTCCAAGGAATAGTGTCTGCCCTGCGGGGTCCCCCACCCCACCCCACCCCACCCCACCCCACCCTCCACGCACTGCCCGCTGTGCTGCCGGCCCCGCGCCTCTGCCCCCGGCGCTCAGCCCCCTCGCCCGGTGGAGTCTCTTAATTTCTCAGCGCTGAGTGCTGCTCCCGCCCGTCTGGGCTCCTCGGTACCCCGTGCTTTCCCCGCTCCGGGCCTGAAGGAGAAGCAGTGGGTGATGGACGGAAGAGCAGGACAGGGAGTGGCCGCAGCGGGAACGGGAGCCCATCCTGGCCTTAGGGGGCGCTTTCGCGGGGAGGTAGGGAGGTCCCCGCCTTTGCTTGCCTGTCTCCCCCAGGGCCGCCCAGTACGCCTGCTCCCTTCTGGGCCACGCACTGCAGAAGCGCGGGGCCAGTCCTGAGCTGCAGAAACAGATTCGACAGCTGGAGGGTCACCTGAGCCTGGGGAGAAAGCGTAAGTAACTCTGGGCTCTGTGACCCCGACACTCCCTCCACCCCGCTCTTCTCTCTTCGTCCCTCCTTCCTGTTTTCCACCTTCTGCCAGTTCTCCCCCCTCATTTGGCTTTGCATTCACCAATTGAGGTAAGACAACAGGAGGCTGAGTGTGATGAAGGACTGGAGAACCGGGCAAGTTTGAGAAAACTAGGCCGGGACACAAATTAACTAAAATTTGAAGTAAAAAAAGAATGAACTGTTTCTGCTCGTTTAAAAAAATTGTTTTTGTTTCTATCACTTGCTCAACTTGCACCCTCTTGCTTTTTCTCTTTCTCTGTTTTTGCTCTCGGCCTCTCTACTTCCAAACCTCTGCTTTTTCCTGCGGATCCCCACCAGTCCTCCGCCTGGGCAACTCAGCAGATGCCCTCGAGTCAGCCAAACGCGCTGTGCACCTGTCAGATGTTGTCCTGCGATTCTGCATCACGGTTAGTCACCTCAATCGAGCCTTGTACTTCGCCTGTGACAATGTCCTGTGGGCTGGGAAGTCTGGACTCGCTCCCCGTGTGGATCAGGAGAAGTGGGCCCAGCGTTCATTCAGGTTTGATGTGCTTTTATTCTACAAGACCTTTTGTATTCTTCATACCACATAACTTCCTTTCATGAGAGAAAGATCTCTCAAGGTCTTCCCAGAATGTGCACATCTTAATCACTCACCTGCTTCTAATCTTCACTTACATCTTAAACTGTCAGAGGATAAGGAAGGGAGGAGGTGGAAGACAAATGCTCTTCCATAATGAATGACTAAGATTGTGAAAGATGTGATGTTATTTAATTCTGCTTCTATCTATACCATAGGTCAGCGATTTTCAACCTTGTTCATCTCATGGCACACATAAACTAATTACTAAAATTCTATGGCACACCAAAAAATACATTTTTTGCCCACCTGACAAAAAAGTAGGTTTAATAATTTTGATTCATTCACACCGGATTGCTATTGTGTTGGCTATTGTCATTTTTTTTTACTTGACAAACTAAGGGAAAAGAGGTCAGTGCCCCTAGCTAAATAGGTATTACATGTTTTAAAAATTCTAGTGGCACACTAATTGAAAACTGCTGCCATAGGTTACTCTCCTCACTACTTGCTCATGCAGTCATTCTATAAATATTTAGTAAGTGCTTACATGGTCCAGGGAATAAAGCAGAGAGTGAAACAGATATGATTCCTGCTCTCATGAAGCTTCTGGTCTAGTGGGATAATCATATGTTAAAACTAGAGGCCCGGTGCACGAATTCTTGCACGAATAGGGTCTGGAGGCCTGCCCCGATTGGGCCAGGCTGGCCGAGGGGAGGGGCTGTGGGTGGTTGGCAGACCAGCCCTGTCCCCTGATAGAACTCCCAGTCGAGGGGACAATTTTCATATTACCCTTTTATTATATAGGATAAATAAACACCAAACCAAGTGTATGAGGAAAAGTACAGGGTGTTATGAAATAAATAACACTAAGAATGAAAGATCAGGAAAGAGCTCTAGCTGCTTTGGCTCAATGAATAGAGGACTGGAAGGTCCCAGGTTTGATTCCGGTCGAGGGCACATTGCCAGGGTTGTGGGCTCGATCCCCAGTGGTGGGTGTGCAGGAGGCAGCTGATCAATGATTCTTTTTCATCATTGCTGTTTCTATCTCTCTCTCCCTTTCCCTCCCTCTCTGAAATCAATATAAATAAATAAATAAAGAAATAAATAAAGAAATAAATAAATAAGAAAGAAAGATCAGGAAAGAACTCTGAGAAAAATAATATTTTAGGTAAGGCCTGAAGTTTGAATAGAAGTTAGACAAAACAAGCAGTAGCAGAGAACACCTTTTCAAACAGAAAATAGCATTTTCTAAGGCTTTGAACCAAGAAAGACTTTGGGGAATTAGAAAAATAGAAAGAAAGCCAGTGGAATGGATAGTATTGAGTAAAAGGCATACTTTCAAACTGGAGGGGTAGATGGGTCAGATCACTCATGAAAGACAATAATAAGATCTTTTTGTTCAGTTTTTAGAAAAATTTTATCCTAGCCCAGGCTGGTGTGGCACAATTGGTTGGAGTGTCATCCTGTCCCATATACCAGAAAATAGTGGGTTCGATTCCTGGTCAAGGCACATACCTAGGTTGTGGGTTTGATCCCTGGTCAGGGTGCATGGCAGAGTCAATTGATCAATGTCTCTGTCTCTCTCTCTCTCTGCCCTCCCTTCCCCTCTCTAAAATCAATTTATAAAAAATAAAAATCCTGCCGAAACCGGTTTGGCTCAGTGGATAGAGCGTCGGCTTGCGGACTGAAAGGTCCCAGGTTCGATTCCGGTCAGGGGCATGTACTGGGTTGCCGGAACATCCCCAGTAGGAGATGTGCAGGAGGCAGCTGATCGATGTTTCTCTCTCATCGATGTTTCTAACTCTCTATCTCTCTCCCTTCCTCTCTGTAAAAAATCAATAAAATATATTTTAAAAAATAAAAAAATAAAAAAAATAAAAATCCTAAGTACAATGAGTTCTAATTAGGGATATGACATCATTTAAATTGTGTTTAAAGAAGATTTCTCTCTAGCCCTAACCGGTTTGGCTCAATGGATAGAGCTTCGGCCTGTGGACTGAAAGGTCCCAGGTTCGATTCCGGTCAAGGGCATATACCTTGGTTGTGGGCACATCCCCAGTAGGGGGCGTACAAGAGGCAGCTGAATCGATGTTTCTCTCTCATCCATGTTTCTAACTCTCAATCCCTCTCCCTTCCTCTCTGTAAAAAATCAATAAAATATATTTAAAAAAAAAGATTTCTCTTGCTGCAGTGTGGAGAATGGATTGCAGTAGGGTAAAAGAGGAGGAGAGGCTGTAATATGGCCAAGAGATATGGCTTGAACTAAAGAGCTGTCAAGTAGTGAAGGTGGAGAGAAATGATTTGAGAATAAAATGATCTGTATACATATCATCTGTATTTGTTTCTTGTTATGCTATGATTCTCTTTGTTCTTTTAGATTATATTAGCATCTTTCTATCTCCATTTCTGTGTTGTTTTTCTACATGGCATATGATGTATGAGGGCTGTGGACAGAGGCATGATTGAAGTAGTATGGAAAAGCACTTACCTAGAAGAGTTTATATGCCATGTTTATTCATATCATTCAACAAATATTTATCAAGCTCTTACTATAAGCAGGCACTGGTCTAGGTACAGGGACCCAGTGGTAAGACAAACAGGATTGTAATGGGAGGAGATACACATAAAGAATAAATAAAAATACAGAGAGTGGGCCCTGATCGGTTTGGCTCAGTGGATAGAGCGTCGGCCTGCGGACTCAAGGGTCCCAGGTTCGATTCCGGTCAAGGGCATGTACCTTAGTTGCGGGCACATCCCCAGTGGGGGTGTGCAGGAGGCAGCCAATCAATGATTCTCTCTCATCATTGATGTTTCTATCTCTCTCTACCTCTTCCTTCCTCTCTGAAATCAATAAAGAAATATATATATTTTTAAAAAAAAGAATAAATAAAAATACAGAGAGTGGGCCCTGACCGGTTTGGCTCAGTGGATGGAGCATCAGCCTGCGGACTCAAGGGTCCCAGGTTCTATTCCAATCAAGGGCATGTACCTTGTTTGCGGGCACATCCCCAGTGGGGAGTATGCAGGGAGCAGCTGATCGATGTTTCTCTCTCGTTGATGTTTCTAGCTCTCTATCCCTCTCCCTTCCTCTCTGTAAAAAATCAATAAAATATTTTTTAAAAAAATACATAGAGTGGTAATGCAGGAAATTGAAAGGGTCACGTGATAGAAAGTAAATGGCTTGCTACTTTAGCATGGGGGGTCAGAGCAGGCCTCTCTGGAAAGGTGGCATTTAAGCTCATACCCAAAGAGCCAGCCGTGTGAAGATTTTGGAGGCAGAATATTTCAGGTAGAAGGACCCAGTCGTGTAAGGGTCCCAAAGCAGGAACAAGCTTGACGGGATCAAAAGAAACAAATGTGGGTGGAGCACTGATTGACAGAGGAGTGGTGTAATGTGCAGTTAGAGAGGCAGGTCAGATGTGAGGTCTGTAAGCCTGTCTAAGTTATCTAGATTTTATTCTAAGTGTGACAGGAAGGAAACCATGAAAAGTTTTAAGAAGAGGAGTTTATGTTGGGGGCGAGGGGCAAGAGTGACCATGGAGAGACAGGTCAGAAGACTAAAGCAGTAGTGCAAACATGAGATGACAGTGGCTTGGACTGTGGAGATGGAGTGTAACAGAGGTGCTTACATTGAGGTTGTGTTTTGGAGATAGGACAGTCATACGGAGTACAGACCACTGTTGTGAGAATGGATTCAAAATTAAAAATACACTGTTCTTAAGGAATTTATAATGTAACACATTTGGCAAGCTGCTTAACACCTCTGGGCCTCTTTTTTTTTTGTTTTGTTAATCTTCACTGGAAGATATTTTTTCCTTTTATTTTAGGAGTAGAAGAGAGGGGAGATGGGTAAAAAGGACAGAGAGAGAAACATCAATGGGAGAGAGCCACATCAATCGGTTGCCTCCCACACGCACCACAATAGGGGCAGGGAATCTGCAACCCAGGTATGTGCCCTTGACCAGAATCGAACCTGAGACCCTTCAGTTCACAGGCTGACACTTTAACCACGCTGGCCAGCACACCTTTTTTTGTTGTTGTTGTTAAATAAAAGGATTGTATTTAAATTATTTATAATTTAACTCTGAAACAACTGAAGCTTATTCTTTTAAAACAAATGTGTGCCCAGCCAATGTGGCTCAATGGTTGACCATTGATCTATGAACCAAGAGGTCACGGTTTGATTCCTGGTCAGGGTACATGCCCAGGTTGTGGGCTCAATCCCTAGTAGGGGACATGCAGGAGGCAGCCAGTCAGTGATTCTCTCTCATCATTGATGTTTCTATTCTTCTCTCCCTCTCTCTTCCTCTCTATGAAATAAAAAACATATTTATAAAAAAAACCCACATTTGTATTACTATAGTTTAAGTTGAATGTGTGTGTGTTAACGTGTTGCCAAGTGGAAAAGTGAAATTTGAGGTTGATCTTGGAAGATTTGATGATACTCATGAACTTTAGCCCAGAATCTTAAGGTAATTGTGAACATATTCATTACAGAAAGGTAGGAGGACATTTCTAATAGTGGGCACTAGTACACATCCACTTCTGGGTTCTGACGTTAATCCTTTGCATTTTGGCGGGACAAGAATGTTTGAGTGTTCTGTTGGCTATGCTAAGTGGGTACATGTGCCCTTACTAACCCTTCCGTCCTGTGTATCTCAGGTACTATCTGTTTTCTCTCATCATGAATTTGAGTCGTGATGCTTATGAGATTCGCCTACTGATGGAACAAGAGTCTTCAGTTTATAACCGGCGACAGAAGGGTTCTGGAGGAGGAGCCCCAGGAGGAATTGAAACTGGGGGACCTGGGGATCCAGGGACTCCAGGAGGAAGCCTACCCCAAATAGCTCTGAAACTTCAGCTCCGAGTCCTGCTCCTGGCTCGGGTCCTTCGGGGTAATCCCCCGCTTCTGCTGGATGTGGTCAGAAATGCCTGTGACCTCTTCATTCCACTGGACAAACTAGGCCTCTGGCGCTGTGGCCCAGGAGTTGTGGGGCTTTGTGGCCTCGTGTCCTCCATCCTGTCTATCCTCACTCTAATCTGCCCTTGGCTACGACTCAAGCCCTGATGTTCTGGTACAGGATAAGGAGGGGACCTGGCTTGGTAAGATGGAATCTTAGATTGTCCCCAGTGTCCCAGACGCATCCTAATCCTACTCCTTGGTTAAAGTTAAAATCCAGAGATTTAGGGATAAACCAGGGGTGGGGAACGTCTGGCCCGTGGGCTGTATAAGGCCCGCAAAATCATTTGGTCTGGCCCTGCCAAGGCATTAGGGGTGAGTTAATTAAATGTTTGACCAAATATGTCAGGCTAATTTTTAAGTGGATAATTTTGTATGGCCCATGAGAGATGTTATAAATATCCAATGGCCCTTGGCAGAAAAACGGTTCCCCATCCCCGGGGTAGAGGGAGGAGCTTTAGGGAAGATGAGGTGACTTGTGTAGTCAGTAGGATGATTCCAGTGTTCAGATCTGCTGGAGCTTTTGTTCTTTTCCTCCTCCATTGCATTGTCTGTGTCTCTCTTGACTCTTGATTTTGTCTCTCTTAAATCGTAGATTCTGTCTCTGGGTTTTTTTTTCCCCTTCTCAGTCCCCTGTCCTAGGAATTTAATCAGCAGCAAAATGACTTTTGGGTAGGGGAGAAGGTGTGTTCTGTAAGATTCTAATTGCCTTCTTTTTCCTCACAGAGGTGGCTTGTGGCAGACTTTACCCCCTTCAGACTCCAGACTATAATTTTAAAGATTTATGTCCCAGTGGACTCTTCCCTCATGCCCCAGAAGTGGTTCGCTGCCTCCTCTTCCTCCCTCATGGCTACCTCACCAACCTCGCTCATGACTTGGCCCTTACCCTTCCCTCTACTCACATCTGCAGATTTTGGCTTACACTTCGACTTCAGGGCTTCGTTCTCAGCCTGTTCTTACCTCTTCTTTGCCAACCCAGAATGATGCCGTGTCTAACATCTTGCTGTAAATATTGTACAATGATTCTGTGTAAATAGTTAGGGCCCCGCCCACAATGGAGAGCAATTAAAGATCAGCCAATTAAAGATCAGTTTGCTCATTGATGTTTGGTCTGGTCCTGTGTGTTCTTGTCATCGGAAGCCCCTATTTCTGTCACTGTGGTTTGGATTTTTCATGGGATTAGCCACTGCATCATCACCCACAGACTTCTATTGAGACCTAAACTCTACAGGGCATCGTACTAGGTGGTAGAGATACAAAAAGCTTAACTCCTCGGTCCCAGCGTCAGATGTTTGTAGCTACTTGAGAAGATGGGAATCTAATGTTAAAGTGATCATACAAGTTCCACAAAGCACATCCATCCCAGTTCAGTTTAAGGTCCCTCCAAAAGCTGTAGTGCCACAGGCAGCAGAGGCTGAGTCCCAACAGAACTAAGTTGTTTGGCTTAGTCTGTGGGCTGGTTGTACCTTCACATGTTGGGACTCCCCTGGGTGGTCAGGTCAATAAAACCACTGTTATCAGTTCTTTATTTTTTAGATCTCAGGTTGAGGTGAATACGGTTAGGAAGTAAAAAGTGTCTGTCTCCCACTCTGTTTATTCCAAACCCAAAGAAAGCATTATTGTCTGGAAACAACAAAGGACAGGAAAAAGGAGAAGGAAACAGCAGAGTCCACAGTTGTGTTCCTTTTGGATTCTGAGATGACGCCTCCAGGGGGCAGCACCAAGGCAGAGAACTAGACTAAGATCACTCAGTCCTGTCCTCTGTCTGGGGCTCCCCACAGGTCCCCACCATCACTCCTCCCATTCCTCCCAACTTTATTTTTAGCTGGCAGTGGGAGGGGGCAGGATGGGAGGGAAACTAACGAAAACAGAAGAGGAGAGGGACAGAGGCACAGAGGACTTCTCACGCAGCCAGAACAGCCAGGCATGGAGCTGCCTCTCATCCCTCACCTGTTCTTGTCCCTGATGGTCCTGACAGGTGAGGGAGGTTAACTTCTTGGTTTCTGATGGGAAAAGAGGATAGTGGATTGTTTGGCATTGGGACTTTAGGGTTAAAATTATTTGGGAACTAGGGTGAAAGATTAACACTGATTCTCCATTGCTAGTGTGTCTGTATGTCTGTGTGTGGGCGCGTGTGTGTGTGTTTGCACGTTTGCATTCTTATGCCCACAGCATATGACCGAGTTAGTATTGAGATTGTCAGAGCCTGTGTAAGGTTTGTGATGCAATTATCTAAAACCTGTGTCCTAGCTCTGGAGAAGTTAGGGGACCACTAAGAAACAGAATGTGACCTTCCACGTGGCCACTCTGATTCCTATTCCCCCCTCCCTTCCTCTCCCCACCCTTGGTGGTCTCTGGAACCGGAGGCATAGCTGACTAACCGTGTAGTCAGAACTCTGGGTTTATCTAACCAATGAGCTACAGTTCCTAGTCATACAGCCCTGGCATTTTCCTGGGTGCAAAAAGGCTCACATACAAACCACCTTTTTGAAAATGAGCATGGTTTGAAGCAGAGCTGTCGCCATTGGTGGGAGTGGGTGGTCTAAGAGGGGGTGGCTTGAAATGAAGGAGCAAGACACAGGGCAAGAACCATGGGAGAGACCAGAAGCTGGAATGTTTCCTCACCAGTGCCCTGTAATCTTCGTTTCCTAAAATACCAGCTCTGATTTTAAAGGGATGGGAGGGAAGAATCAGCCAGAACTTGATTGGGGGCGGGGGTCTGTAGAGTGGGTCGACAGCTAAGGGAGAAATGCGGAGGGCAGTGGGGAGGGTGGGTACATTTAGAAAGGAAGCTGGTGGTTGTGGGAAACTTTAGGGCGAAGGGACCCTTGCTAGGATGAATGGCAAACCATGTGTGTGGGCAGGCGAGGGGCCCCACCCAGTTAATTGCCACTGAGGTTTTCAGGGCTGGAATCACCCAGAGCCCTAGACGTTGGAGAAAGAGAGTGAGCGTGTAACAATGACACTGGGAGTCAAGAGGGAGAGAGGAGAGACCCAGACATTCAGTGTTCCCTCGACTCCTGTTCTCCCCATGGTCCTGGTTTTGGGGAGACTTTGAAAGGCATGGTTGTTCTGGGGCTACAGACGGTCTCTCTCCCTCCTTTAACCCTCCGCTTGGGGAGGAGGATGTGTAGGAGGAATGATGTGGAAAAGAGGAACTTGACCCAGGCTTGTCTGTAAATTAGATTTCAGGGGTTGGATGGAAATACAGCTGTGCACTAGCATGGCAGAGGGCCACGGGTTAGACAGCTGGACACAGATACAGGAAGGAGATCATCCTTGCCTGGAGCTCTGAGTCCATGACATTGACAGAGGCCAGGCAGCTTATGAGTAACTAGAGGCCCGATGCACGAAATTCGTGCAAGAGTAGGCCTTCCTTCCCCCAGCTGCTGGCACCAGCTTCCCTCGCAGCCCCGGCCTTGTCTGGAAGGTTGTCTGGTCTAATTAGCATATTATGCTTTTATTATTATAGATAAGCAGAGAAATAGACTTATAGCAAGACATGTCCTTCACAGCCTCTCTCTGGGCATTCACTAGCCTCTCTACCTGCTGCCTGCTAACCTTATGATCCCGGCCCCCCAGGTCTCTGCTCCCCCTTCAACCTGGATGTGCATCACCCACGTCTGTTCCCAGGGCCACCTGAGGCTGAATTTGGATACAGTGTCTTACAACATGTTGGGGGTGGACAGCGATGGTGAGGAGGAAGCCGGGCCATGAGACGGGGGCTGTGATGACGCTGTAAAGGGGTTGAGGCAGATGGGAATCTAAAGGAATCGGGAAGGGGGTGGGCTCTAGATTTGCCAGCCCATGCACTTACCCTCTGGCCTATCTCTCTCTCTCTTTTTTTTTTGTATGGCCTATCTCAAAGGTCATGGTCACACTGTGCTTATATTCATGCCCTCCCCCAGGATGCTGGTGGGTGCCCCCTGGGATGGGCCTTCTGGTGACCGAAGGGGAGACATTTACCGCTGCCCCATAGGGAGATCCCACAATGCCTCATGTGCCAAGGTCCACTTGGGTAAGATGCCTCACTCTTCTACTCCTAACCCCTAACCTTCATACGCTAGTAACTTTGACCCCTTATACCTCACCTATATCCACATGCTCCCTGTCCCCGACTTGACCTTGATCTTTTCTCAAACCCAAATCACCCTGAACTCAAGCACCCCATCTGTGACCTCATGATCTCATTCTCTTAGTCCAATGT